TCTTAACGATAAGGCATTCTTGGTTGATAGCATAGAAACGAAGATCAGCATCGCACCATCAGCTTCATTAAAACAAAGCGCCAAAATGGCATGATCATGAAAGTGGTGAAGGAAGACTGGCATTCCAGTGGCGACTAACTTTCCTTGCTTTTTCTCGTGCGATTGCATATTAAGGATTGACTTATGGAAGGCAAGGCTTTAGCTTTAAAATCAGTGAGATAAAATGAATTAGATCCTTCGGAAACAGCACAATAGCTACTTTTGCACAACTCAGTATAGACTTATCACGTGATTTATCTTTCTGAGTTACTACTATCATTAAATCTAATAATATTGTTTCGTTTTATTTTTTGCATTTTTAAAAAGTATGTCGACTAATTACGCACGTTTAGAAATTGAGTACTTTCATTTCCAGGGTTATTTCGCTGATATGGCTTTCACTCCGGGAGGAAAATATGCGCTAGAATCAATGTTTGACTCTTTGGATGACGAACAGAAGGTTGCACTGATGAATCAGCTGCTACACAAGGAAAAAGAATTGATGAAATTTCGCAACGGCATATACGTGTGCTTAAAATTGCGGCTCTCTCGGTTCAAAACATCGCCAAAAATGTGGCTAAAATACATGGAAAGACTAGCGCATGACAAAAAGGGTTTAGTAGAAAATGCTGTTGTCTGTAATTAATGAAAAGAATTAAAATTCTTTTTTTATTACAGACTTTTGTATCAGCAGTGGATCGATAATATGAAAATATTCTACGCATCAGTTTTCCATTAAAAGACGCAGGGTCGTTTCTTAGTCTCCTCGATCGTCTTCATCAGATTAATTGAATAAGCACATAAACGAGTACAATTTTACATTGAAAATAATAGTAATACCGGATTGAAACGACAAAAATGCACAGTGTAATTAACCAAGTAAAAGAACTGCAAAATCTGATAATCATCATAATTCTATAACGAAGGTGCAAATTAATCGAAATGTACAACCACGGAAGCGCCTGCCATTTTAGCGCCATAATGTCCCGCCCAGAACTGATTGTCTAGTCCAATACTGTAAAACATCACCACTCGTATTCCTTCCGGATAGTCACGGAACGAATGGACTGTTTGAATCCATTTGCCATCTTGCCACTGTTCAACGCGGGTAAATTTTTCAAACGTTGTACGTGTTATTACATCTGGAGGAGTGCTTTGCCAAGGGCTAAGATCGAACCTCTGCAAATTATCAATTTGCTTCGATTTCAGCAAGTGCACGACAAGTCCATGAGTGGAAGCGCAATCAATTCTTGCAGCGTGCCACTCTGAAACGGTGATGACTGGCTTCAAAGAATCGAGTACCTTCGAGTCACATCCTTCCTTGATCAGATCAACAGCTTGAAGTTTGATGTCGCTCTCGAAAGAGGTCGCGAAGCACACAGGAAATACGTCAGTTTCAACATATACCGGAGGTCTTTCGATAATGAATCCTTCACCACCTCCACGCAGCGCCTCCCAGTGCCGCATTTGTTCTTCGCCACTTGGATTTTTGATGAGGTTCTTCCCGAATGGCCTCAACAAGTAAACCCGTATGATGCTTTTTACAGTTTCTGATGTATGCTTCTCGGCAAAAATCACATTCTCTTGACGACACTTCTTCCGCCAGAAGCCGACATCATCGATCACAGAGTGCCACTTCTTGCAAACCAGTTGACAGAAAACAATCAGCGTTCGACCATCCACTCGCAACAAAACTTCTCTGACCAAGTCCACAGGGAGCTCCTCAAAGAGCATTGTGTAGGTGTGTGATACGGAACGTACCTAAACGAAGCGAAGAATTCAGTTATTAACATCATTTCGGCTTTAGTCTATATTCAAATGAAGTTATAACTACTCTAATATTTAAAGAAATGATCATGGGTCAAAAAATACTTGACATACAAAAGGTACGACCCTGGAAACATCGCTTCTGGTACTGGATACAGCAATGAATCTTCGGTCATTGTTGGGATGCCAGTCTTTCCTATACTTTTGTGAGGGGGTCATTTCCAGCATCCTTATTTTCATGGAGTTAATGATGTGGTGCTTATCAACCAGGAGTGCAAGTGCTCGTAGATAGGGTACAGTATGAATGCATCGTTTTCCCTGGCAACGACGACGATTTTGGCTAAAACTCTATTTGTAAGGTAACTATAATATAGCCATGGGACAAGATGTATGGAAGCAGCAGATTTCTTGTCATGTTGTGAACGTAGTCACAGAGACGATCGGATTCGAACGCTTTGTAGCTTTTGAATGGTGAACCGGACTATGAACCATCTTAGCAAGTTTTTACTTTGTTCTGCGATGTCAGACGATTCAGACATAAAATATGAACTCACCGTTTGAATCTCTGACAGATTTTGATGTACCACACCTAAAAGGCGACTTACCCTGTATAGTTTAACGTACGTTTCCACGCTGTCGTGGTAGCAGTGGCTGAAGTTCTTTACTGTCCACTCAAAACATACGTTTACAGTACGATCTTCGTATCAGGAAAGTTGTGGTGCATCCGATGTGATACTAAACTCAACCTCATGCACATCCAAAGCACCCAGTCTGTAGTTAAATTCACGATAATAGTAAATGTGGCACGGAACGTCTTACAAAATTGATTTTTAGTACATGCCAACGATATTTAAATTCTCCAGCTTTTGAACAAGATACCGGATTCCGACGTTTCCGCTTCCGACAGAAAAGCACCACCAAGCTACTTTATAAATAACGGTGATTTTTGTAAAAATATAGGGGCGAAAAAATAAATGACCCCGTGGTATAAAAAAGTGCACAAAAAACGAAGAAAAGTTTATGGGCATTCTAAAGTTGCAGCTTCGCTGATTACCGGTGAAACACAAAACTCTAAATGGCAGAGTGAAACACTAGGTTTTTCGATGTCAGTGTAGCATTGCAGTGAAGCAGCTAAGGTCACAAGCAGCGACATTAACCGGGCTACATAGAGCTTCCTTAAAATTTTAAAAAATTAATTAATCAGGTATTAATTAATCAAATAGGTACACTAATTTAGACTTCGTTAGCTTTCAGTAGGAAACCGAGTTAATAAATAGGTACTGATCAAACGAGTTCAAGGATTTCACAGCGTATTTAATCTGGTATGATATTGGAGGGTAAAATGAATATGCCCATATCTATACACAAGAGAACTGCAGGGCGTAGAGGAATACCAAACTCATGTAGGATGAAAAATTAAAGTACCAGGCATCTGACTTTTCGCTCCTAAGTAAATTAAAAAATGCAACAACGCTCAATTGAAATGTCCCTATTCCTTTGCCATTACGTCAAAGTCACATTCACAAATCATTTAATTTTCGCATGCATCAAGCTATGC